TGATTTCCCGGTACCTGCACGTCGTTTTCCATCTGGAATTTCATGTTGTCGTAYGTTTCCAGGTTCTCGTCCTCCAGCTCGCTCAGCTGCTTCTCAAACTCTCCCTCCTTCACCGTCTGATCCCGCTGGAATTCCAGCTGTGGGAGCACGGAGAACCTCATCCGAACTGATCCGACATCATCCAACCTCATCCGTCCTCATCCGACATCATCCGACCTGATCCGACCTCATCCAACCTTATCCAACCTCATCCATCCTGACACAACCTCATCCAATCTCGGAACTGCAGCTGTGGGAGCATGGAGAACCTCATCGAACCTCATCCGACATCATCTGACATCATCCAACCTCATCCGGCCTGATCCAACCTCATCCAACATCATCCAACCTCAGAATTCCAGCTGTGGGAGCATGGAGAACCTCATCAGAACTGATCCGACCTCATCCGACATCATCCGACCTCATCCAAACTGATCTGACCTGATCCAACCTCATCCGACCTCATCTGACCTCATCCGACCTGATCTGACATCATCGATCCTAATCCAACCTCATCCAACCTCATCTGACCTCATCTGACCTGATCCGACCTCATCCAACATCATCCAACATCATCCAACATCAACCAACCTCATCCATCCTCATCCGACCTGATCCGACCTAACCCCACCTCATCCAACCTCATCTGACCTGATTCAACTTCATCCAACATCATCCAACCTCATCCCACATCATCTAACCTCATCTGACCTGGTCCAACCTGATCCGACCTCATCCAACCTCAATCGAATTCATCCAACCTCAGAATTCCAACTGTGGGAGCATGGAGAACCTCATCTGGACCTGATCTGACATCATTCAACATCATCTAACCTCGTCCAACCTCATCCGACCTCATCCGACCTCATCCAACCTCATCCCACCTCATCCCACCTCATCCATCCTGACACAACCTCATCCAATCTCGGAATTCCAGCTGTGGGAGCACAGAGAACCTCATCTGACCTGATCTGACATCATCCAACCTCGTCCAACCTCATTCAACATCATCCCACCTCATCCAACCTCGTCCGACCTGATCCAAACTGATCCGACCTCATCCAACTTCATCCAACCTCATCCATCCCCATCCAACCTCATCCAACCTCATCCATCGAGATCCAACATTACCCATTCCAATCCAACCTCATCCATCCTGATCCAACTTCATCCAACCTCTAAATTCCAGCCGTGGAAAAAAGGAGAACCTGACCCAACCTCGTCCATACTGATCCAATCTCGTCCATCCTGATCCAGCCTCATCCAACCTCATCAATTGAGATCTAACTTCATCCACCTCAACCCAACCTCATCCATCCCAATACATCATCATCCCACCTCATCCCACCTCATCCATCCCACTCTGACCTCACCCAGCCTCATCCAATTTCATCCAACCGTATCCAACTTCATCCAAATTCATCCGATCTTGGAATTCCAGGTGAGAACATGGAGAACCTCGTCTGACCTCATCCCACTTCATCAATCCCCATCCAACCTCATCCAACCCCATCCAACTTCATCCAAATTCATCCGACCTTGGAATTCCAGCTGTAAGAACATGGAGAACCTCATCCGATCTCATCCCACTTCATCAACCCTGATTAAACTTCATCCAACCTCATCCAACCTCATCCATTCCCATCCGACCTCATCCAACCTCATCCATTCCCATCCAACTTCATCAATCCCCATCCCACTTCATCCAACCTCATCCATCCTCATCCCACCTCATCCATCCTTACCCAACCTCATCCAAATTCATCCGACCTTGGAATTCCAGCTGTGAGAACATGGAGAACCTTGTCTGACCTCATCCCACTTCATCAATCCCCATCCAAGCTCATCCCACCCCATCCAACTTCATCCAACCTCATCCAGCCTCATCCATCCTCATCCAACCTCATCCAGCCTCATCCATCCTCATCCAACCTCATCCAACCCCATCCAACTTCATCCAAATTCATCCGACCTTGGAATCCCAGCTGTAGGAACATGGAGAATGTCATCCAATCTCATCCCACTTCAACAATCCTGATTAAACTTCATCCAACCTCATCCAACCTCATCCATTCCCATCCGACCTCATCCAACCTCATCCATTCACATCCAACTTCATCAATCCCCATCCCACCTCATCCAGCCTCATTCCACCTAATCCATCCTCATCCAACCTCATCCAACTTCATCCAAATTCATCCGATCTTGGAATTCCAGCTGTGAGAACATGGAGAATGTCATCCAATCTCATCCCACTTCATCAATCCTGATTAAACTTAATCCAACCTCATCCAACCTCATCCATTCCCATCCGACCTCATCCGATCTCATCCCAATTCATCAATCCTGATTAAACTTCATCCAACATCATCCAACCTCATCCAACCTCATCCAACCTCAATTGAATTCATCCAACCTCAGAATTCCAACTGTGGGAGCACGGAGAACCTCATCTGGACCTGATCTGACATCATTCAACATCATCTAACCTCATCCAACCTGATCTGACCTCATCCAACCTCATCCAACCTCATCCAGCCTCATCCCACCTCATCCATCCTGACACAACCTCATCCAATCTTGGAATTCCAGCTGTGGGAGCACAGAGAACCTCACCTGACCTCATCCCAGTTCATCAATCCCCACCCCACCTCATCCTAACTCATCCCTCCTTATCCAAACTCATCCAACCTCATCCAACCTCATCCATCAAGGTCCAACCTCATCCCTCCCGATCCCAGCCTGTTCCCACCACGATCCCAAAAAATCCAACTCCTTCCCGG